TTTTACAATACAGAAAATAGTAAAACCTATTTTGACAGTCTAAATATATACTTAAACAGTAATTTAAATATTAATAAAAAAATATAACAAAATTATTTTTATATTGACAATTAAATAATATATATATATATATATATATATATATATATATATATATATATATATATATATAATATGTATATATATATACACTCATATCTGAACATCCAAAATTATTCTCCTTATTTTCAAAATTTTCAAAAAAAACTCTGAAAACAAGATACACTTGTTTTCTGTTTCTTTGACTCAAATCTCATTTTTTTCTCAAAATTTAGAAAACAAAAATACTAAACAAACAGGTTTTAGGTATTTTCAAAATTTTGAAAACAAAAAACAGTTTTCGAAAATTAAATCAAACATGGCCCAAGTATTTTGCATATCATGACAGATTCGAATCGTGTCCAAATCGTATCATTTCAAAAAATTTTAATATGTACCCAATCAATTTATAATCGCGTTCGTATCATCAATTTATAATCGTGTTCATATCAACGGTCAGGGGTATTTGGGTCAGTTTTTGCGCACTTCTACTAATCTCCTCTCTAATCTGGTGAAAGACAGGTTATCTATGCCGAGACTAAGGTATTCATGAGGGATAAATTTTTTATGGTCTAGTCTTAAAAAATTATCAAAATTTAAATTCTAAACGTTTGAATTTATAACTCGTCTTTATTATCACTTCAACTGCCTGGAATTTGATTCTTGAGTTTACATTAGGATCCTTGATGATCTGGACATTGAAGCCCAGTTTTGTTACTGTCGGTCATTGTTAAGCTGATAGGTTGGAAGATTGGGATCCAATAACTTGGATGGGCTTATGAGCTCTAATCAGCCCATAACATTTTGTGGTTAGACAATAGGCCCAAATTTGTAATTCCCTTTCCCTGGGTCCATTCCAAAAGTTGGATTCTTAAATGGTAATCCACCAACTACATATATGGGTGAGAGACCCACTCCATTTGAATTCATGTTCTGTACTTTACATTGAAGAAGGTCCAAAGAATAATCCCCAAAAGCTATGAGTTTGGAAAGAGATTTATTTTTTTTCAAAGATAAATATTGGATTACTAGAGTGTCTAAATAGGGTATGTGTTCCATTATAACTTGAACGTTATTTGATTCAAGTAAAAAAAAATGATTTTTTTTGCATAAAAGATAAAGATGTCTGCGCGCATTTAACTATCCCCACATCCTATAAGGATGAGAGTCTCATGTATTCACTGAATCGCTATTTTAGTTAACATGAATAACAATATGAAAAAATGATTTTTTGGGAGGTGAGGTGGGGGGGTGGGGAATGAAATTTGAACCCGCAATTACTTATAAAGTGGGATTGAACCCTTGCACAATAGGTCAATTTCTCACCTCTATCAATCCATCAAAAAGAAAAAAACATTCTAACAACTGGTTGACTAGCATGATGGAAATAACATACTTTAATTGTCTGTATCAAATGGTGTCAGGCTTCAGTTTTACAACCAATAAAGTATTGCATTTCAAACCTTGAACAATCAAGGGCATTCAGCCCTAATCAAATCAAGGGAAAACTACCACCTAACAGTAGTTATCTAGTCCACAATTGACAAAACCTACAAAACCTAATGTGGGGTATCTATTTCAAGTGTGAGGAGGTCACATGGGGATTTGGTCCAATGGATCACCAAATCTCCTAAATACATTGAGTTACATATTTGTATCGATTGATTACTATTATAAGTAAAATAGAATCTAAATCAATGACTATTATAGTGAACCGAGAAAGAGGAGTAAAATGAAGTCCCAAGGAGATGGACAAAAGATGGAATAATGTTCTCAAACAAAAATATAAAAAATCAATATCTAGTTGAGAAAGTCAAGGATGACCAACTAGACTAAGCTCAACTAATTGATAGAAACAGTGAGGTGCCACAATGCATATGTTTAGTAAAAGTGCCTAGATAGTTGCAAAAATGGGTCCTTAGGGCTCTACAAACATAATGGGGAACTAATGTTTAAACCAAAGTTTTATCTAGAGAACACCATAAAAGGGAATGGATTGGAATTTGGAAGTGTAGGGTTCAACTTTGTTTATCCGTATAGGTTCTATTGATTTCTGTTAATTGTTTGCTATCTATGAATACTCTTCCTATTAAATATCACGTTAACACACATAACCAATCACGTGTTTCTATTTTAACAATTGTATTTACTTAAATACGATGAGTTCTCATTATTTTTTTTATGACGTGGAAGATATGATTCAATCAATTCAGCTTGATTTGACAAAATCGAACTCCAAAATATCGAGCTTTGAGATAAATGACCGAGAGGTATACTCTCTCACGTCATTCCAACTCAACATGCTATGTATTTTCTACAAGTTTTATAGCTCACTTTGAAAGAAAATGAAGGGAATAGAATATGGTCAAAAACTTGGTACCACTAGAGATTTGATCCTCAATGTATATATACTTTTGGGTAATGATTTGTTTGGTTTCTCCTTTTAGTCGTGTATGGGTAGCGTCTTCGTTACGTACTGTGGACTCTTTGATTCGTAGGCCCTAGCACGAAATCTTCAAGGATCAAGCTTTCTTTTTCATGGTGAGAGGATCAAGCTACTCTATTATATATATTGATGACGTATTCCTTAGACTTATGTTTATAACATAACTTTTGGATAAACACAATCACCTGTAAATCAAGTGCATCGTCTTAAATACTTATTTGACTCAATCAAAAAGAGTTGAACTCACGATGTAAAGATTTTTATGAGTCTTAAAATAGGAAGGAGGAGGACTCTTTCTTTAAGCATTAGTTAAAGGGGAAGCCATTGAGATGTGAGAGTGTAACTAGGTGGATGAGCAGAACGTATGAACCGTGGAAATCAATGTTAAACTGAGCTATAAGGCTTGTGGGGATTGTGGAAAAATTCTTAAGGTATTGGGCTAATTAACACAATGAAATTATAATGGTTCACTCGTTGGGGAATTCAGCTAACCCACTCTTTAATAGATGCTTTTGTTCATTGGATCTGTATTGATTGCTTTTTACAAATTTCAATAGTGTTCCAATACAGTTAGGTTGCTCGCCCCTTCAATGGAGGCATTGTTCTGTATTTATAGTCTAATTCTTATTCTTGAGGGATCAACACCGAGATCCTTGGCCTTCATCTGAGGGATTGTCTTTGATTCTAGGTGAAGATCTCGGCTAATTGAGAGTTTTGCGCCTCGACGGCAGCTTTCTGTTATTTTGGGGGTTCTCTTTGTTGGCCAGCTGTCTCCCTCTCTCTTCAATTATTATTCCCTTCGAAGGGAACTCAAGGTCTAGTCCCCTGAGCTCAGGACGCTTGCTTGACCTCCATGACTGATCTCTGTGCCTGAGCTTAAACTTAAAATTTATTCTGGGTATCATCAAGATGCATCCTAATTTTTATGACAGTTATTTTTAGTAAGTACAATATTAGATAGATTAAGAATAATCCAGGAAAAAAATGTTGAATCCTTGTTTTTATCACTGAAATCCAATAAGAATATAAATTCAATGGGACGATCTATTCGAATCACTTTTTCTTTAGATTTGTGGCTGCTAGACGAACTTCAAATGCAAACAACTACATGTAAATCATTCATCAGATGAAACTTAAGATCTTGAGATATTAAATGAAATTCTGTAATTCAAACCATTCCAACGAGTTGTTGTACTATATTTTCCTAGTGATTGAAAAAATAGTGGATTTGGTGGGCAATGCATTGTCATTGAGTGTCAACCACCATCAATACAGTAAACAGATACTTTTGCAGCATATCAGCAAGCAAAAACCATAGCTGTCAAAGAAGCAATTTGCAAGGGACAACAATTAGAGTAGCATTTGGTGATGATTGTATCTCACTCAAAGATCATAATCAATGCAGGGCAAGGCAAAGGTAAAGTTGGTGCAGCAGACTCCCCAGCTCTCTCTCTCTCTCTCTCTCTCTCTCTCTCTCTCTCTCAAATTGTTAAGATAATTATGAAATTGAGTTTACCAAGTTAATAGAAATAATTACATTAGTGAGATCCACTGATCTTTTCTAGTGAACTTCATTAATCCACTCATGCGCATCAACTTTGTAAAATATATTTGATATATATTTTGGTGCCTACATCATTAGTGGTTTTTTCATCTATATACAATGATGTGCCACTATTCCAATGAATCAAGGTACTGGGTTTAAGGCCTTAGTTTCTACCAAATTGAGACACTCCGATTGTCTCGTTCTCTTGGACAAGTTTAATCACAGAATTAACAATTAGAAAGAAAGACGATTGTCATATGTCAGAAGAATGAAAGTTCTTCTCCTTAGTGTTTACAAGTTTTCACATCTATTGATCGGCCGCTTTGAGGCTTCCAAAAAAGACCTTGAAATCCATTTCATTGAGCGTTTGGTATTTCTTTTGGTCAGGCCCGAACCCACCTAAACATGGACATAAGACAAACAAAAGAAGAGGTCATGATAAATCAAAGATTACCAAAAGATTAGTGTGTGGGGTCGCCAACTATGCTAAGCCTAGTTTGTTAACTCCCAAATTCTTCTTAAATCTATGAGAAATAAAGTTCTCAAACAAGTAATAAAATTAGAAGCTCAATTTGTTAGAAGAAATGTACATTAATATTATTAGCTAAACATGCATGCCAAATTTTATACCAATTATGTGCAAAGTATTATAATAGTCTAATGAAAAACATGGAGTCAATCGAACAAGCTTCAAATTTTAGTATTATTCATTTGTTTTTTAATACGAGGGATATTGAACGAGAATAATTTAAATTACACTCGAAATATTAGATTCGTTTATTTATCATGCACTAGAAAATCATTACATTAAGGTGAGGGCAAAAAATTCTATAAACATAATTTGTATAAACAATCATTTCTGCACAAAACATTCCCTTCCCAAAAAAAAACCCAGAAATTTTAAAAAAAAAATCACAACCAATAATAATGTCAAACAAACGCCACCAACGGAGCCGGCTCGTAACAGAACGGCGCCGCCGGGTGCTGCCACTTCTTAAACACCACCGCCTTCTCCTTCGCGGCCTCCGTGCTCTGATTATCATCAGGCCGTCTGATCTCAGCCGTTAACTTTTTTGACTGCGGCGCCGACGGTGACGTTACCAACGGTGATAAAAGAGGTATCGCCACATTCCAATCGGATGGTCGGTTTATCTGTATCGACGCCGGTGCTCTTCGTTGTAACCGAATTGACTGACGCCGATTGTCGGAGTTTTTCACTTTGATGTCGGCCATAAGCGATTATAGGAGATGGGTATTTCTGAATTGCTATGATTTTCGATCGTATTGGAGAGGGAGAGGGAGAGAGAATGGAGGGAAGATTTGTTGGAGAAGGTATGTATAAGGGGCATGTAGCGAACAAGGTTGGAATTTGGCCGTGGTTGGTATGAGAAAGAGTCAGAGTCAAAAGGTGGAATTGGTCGTTTCAAGTTTCAACCTCGGCTTTCTTAGAGTAAATTACACTTTACTTTTCTAAACTATTACTCTCGTTGTATTTTGCACATGTAATTATAAAATTTTTCACATTACGTTTTAAAATATTAATTTTATTTTATATCATTCTAATAAATAACGAAAAACTTAAAAATACCACTTTATTTTTCATCTTTTGCAACTAAAGATTGCTAAAAAAAAAAAAGAAATTGGCTAGAGGAAGCAAATTTAAAATTTAAAATTTAAAAAAGACAAAATTATGACTAGATGTTTTTCTTAATTTTTGATTTACATCTGTGCAATATGCAATTACTTATTAATAATACAAATCATTCACATGTGTATTTACCGTCAAAAAATTAATAATAGTAATATGAAATAAAATTAACATTTTAGAATATAATATAAAAAATTTTATAATTGAGAATACAAAATAAAATAAGAATAATAATTTATAAGAATAAAATATAATCTAGTTGTTGACGGAGTAGCACTAAAATAGCCTCCTTCATTAGACAAAATCTCTCTAACTTTTTTTTTAAAAAGTAAAATACACTTTTAGTCCACAAAATATAATATAACCAATCTTTCAATTATGTCTAATTAATTCCTAAGGTTTTTATTTTTGTATTTATATAATGCAATCCCAAACTTTTTCAATAAATTTTAAATATCTTAATCACCTGATTTAATTCACAATTTTTTTATTTTTTTTTGAGAATTTTCAAACATTGACCATTCGATTGCCAATCAAAATATGCTCTCGAGTCTCAAACTTCCCATTGACAGAGTCACAGAATATGCTCGATAGATTTACACAATAAAAGCACCATTTCCCTAATGTTGACATTTGCAAAATTGGGGGCTAGGTATTATAGGCTATACAAAAAAATAACCCCTAGAGCATGGTTTCATCTCTAATATCTTACAAGTCTCATTAAATATGACTAGGATTGGTGTGATTTGAAAAACGAATCATCTGAAAAGCATTTTAAGTTCTTCAATCCTAGCTGATCGGACTTCCTCGTCGGTGAGGGCTCCAGCTATCATCCGTTGCTTTCTTGCTTGAACTTGTTGCATCCGCTCTTCCACCGTGTCCTGCAACCATTATATAAAACTACTAGTTATTGTCTGTGCTTAAAATTACAAAATAATAAACAATAAACATATTTATATTCATATTTAAAATCAAATCACAAATACAAAAAATAAATAAAAAAATTTAAATATCAATTTATAATGAGGTGAAAAGTGATAGACGACAGTAATGGTGATAGAAAACGATGATTATTGTGATAAATGACAATTACCGTGGTGACGACGATAACAATAGTGGTGGCAACAGCAATGGTAGTGATAGTGGTTGTAGTGGTGGCGGTGGGGATGGTGAAGGCGGTGGGGGTGAGTGTGACAGTGATAATGGCGACGACAATAATGGTGGAGGCGACGACAAAGGAGGTGATGGCAATAGTGGTGGTGATAGTGGCGGGAGTGGTGATAGCGGGGGCAAGGGCGACAAGAGTGATAGTGGTGGTGGCGTCGACGCTGGTGGTGGTGGCAGTGGAGGCGGCGATAATAATGGAGGTGACGGTGGTGGCGATGGTAGTGGTACAGGGAGTGGTGAGACAATAGTAGCGATGGAACAATTTCAAACACTATTTTTTAAAAATATTTATGAGAAATAATTTTAAAAATACTTCAAAAAAATATTCTAAACACATCTTTAAGAACCTATTTTTCCTATTAAATTTATGATATTAATATTAACCATTATATTAACTTTAAAATAAAATTTAAAACAATCATAATCGCGAATAACAAAAATTATTTGATTTATCTTTTGAGATTTAAATTGTAAACTATTTTATTATATAGATGTATTGATAAAATTTGTAGCCGACGATGATGATGATATATTGTATAACATGAGCAGGTTTGATAAAAATTGACACCCTTTCCCTCCGTTGTCCTAGTAGAAGTTTGTGTTAATGGAGAATAACATGAACTGAGGCCTTTACACTCGTAACTATAAACCCAAATTCAAGATACTTATAATCATTTGCAAACCATGCACATAATCCGGGGTTATAATAGACGCATCAAAAAAAAAAATTGTTGGAATAAAGCATCTCACCTTGACAATGAATCTTCTAACGCAAACTGTTCTTTTTTGACCAATACGATGAATTCGCATTATCGCCTGTTCCTCTACTGCAGGATTCCACCATGGATCCTATACAATATGAAAGTTGAAAAAGAAAGCAAAGAAAATAGATGAAAGAAAGAACAAGAGAGGCAAAGATATAATTGTTTACCACGAGAAAAACATTAGAAGCTGCAGTCAAATTCAAGCCCACACCACCAGCTTTCAGTGACATTAACAATACCTGGAAAATGTAAATACAATCAGATCTAGCATTTGATAAGCAACAACATTGAATCAGTATCAAACAGCCAAACCATCAGGAATGATTTGAAGAAACAGAAATAAGGCCCAAAACAATTAATAGTACTTACCATTTTGTCTCTGGTCTCACTGAACTCCTTTAAGACCCTCTCTCTTTGTTTTTGAGACAATTTCCCATCAAACCTTAAGAACAAAATTCCTCTGCTCTTGAGGGGGATCTCCAAAAGATCCAAAAAAGAAGTCCACTGGCTAAAGACAATGCTCTTTTCTCCAGAACCTGAATGAATTGTACGTTCCAAGCAATCCAAGAGCTTTGAAACCTTGGAAGACTCCTTCCAGTTCTTCTCAACATCAACTCTGAACCGGTTTGCAGATGGGCAGGTAATGAGTTCAGTTTTCTTAATCAGTTGCCTACATATTGGGCATAGCCCACATGACGGTGTTCGCCAGCATGAGAAAAGACACTCCCTGCACATCCTATGTGCACAAGGTGTGAGCACAGGGTCATCTGCAGACTCCAGGCATATAGGGCACTCTGTGTTTTCACCCTGCCGGAGACCCTCAACAACCTCTTGAACATATGCTTCACTTGGAACTTTATGAGAGGCAGAATCAGGATTCACCTCAAGGAACCTTCTGGCAAGTTTGTTCAGGTCAGCATATTCTTGTGAATCACCTCGGCTGCAGGTTTTAGAGATGCGAGCAATGTCAGATGAAACACAAAAAGCAAAACCAATAGCAAAAAGAATGGAAAAGACGAGTATTTTGTTCCAAGTAGGTTACAAAAATTCCAAATCCATGCTCACCTCATAACAAGAAATGGGTGGTTGCAACACTGCCTCAATCGAAGCAGCAGCTCAAGAATATTTGCATAATTGTGAAGAACTTTGCCTTGTGCCACAAACTGGTCAAACTGGACCTGTTTATATTGCAGAAAAGATACAAGCTTCAATCTTCAAAGGGGGAATGACAAGGTAATTGTAGGGGATTTATCCACGCGTTCAAGATGTCCTCCCCGCACCGAAGGATTTTAGCTGACCTGGCGTAAGCCTACGCTTTGTGCTAGTAGCCTTTACCTCTCGGTCTCCGAGGGCACGCTTATCCCACATCGACGGAGAGTCGTCTCCCTCCCTTGCATATAAGCCTTGGCACTATGTGGAGGTGGTACCCACTAGTAGTGGCAAGGCTTATATGCGAGGGGGGAAGACGACTCTCCGTCGATGTGGGACAAGCATGCCCACGGAGACCGAGAGATAAAGGCTACTGGCACAAAGCGTAGGCTTACGCCATGTCAGCCAAAATCCTTCGGTGGAGGGAGGACATCCCGAACACGCAGATAAATCCCCTACAGTAATATCAGAATGCAAAGACAATTTAAATCAGTGAAATGATTGATCACCATTTTTGATCACTCAAAATTACTGTAGTTATCATAATAGTGATATGCATATCTTTTTTAAGGTTCAGGCATAAAACATTCATTATGCATGCTAAAATGGATCTTACTTTTGATCTCCTGAAGAGGGCATCATAAAAATCATGTTCAGCTTCTGTTTGTTCACAGTCAATGACTTGGATATCAGTTGGAGGAAGGACAAGTATGGGCCTGATTTCACATGCATAAATCATCAAGATGTTAACATGAATCAGATTTTACTTGCAGCCAAAGGAAAGTAGAAAGAAGACCAAACAAACGAGAATTTTTACGTTCCCTCTTTATCCTTTGTGTCTTTTGTTCTTCTCAACATCAATGGCCTCAGAATAGACTTGATCAATTTCAGCCCTCTCTGATCACCATTCTCATAAGGCCTCTGAATCAATTTGTGCCACCTAGATAATGGAAATTTTTCATTGAAGAAAAAGGACACAATTATTTAATCATCTCATCCTTGAAACTAAATGCAATATCATTTATCTTTTCTCCATCAATGTTGTAGGTTATCACGTAACCGATTAAACCAACATGGCAGAGTTATTGCATTTATGAATTTTTTTTGTCCATACCAAGCCCAGTTGCACCATGGCTCAACATGCAAGAAGCATAGGAGGCTGTAGAGGTCTTCCAAATTATTCTGCAGCAACAGATAATGATTTTGTAAATACTTATTGGACAAAATATCAATTAAATTCAACAATGAAACCATTAAACCAATAATTATTCATCATGCAAACATCTGCCAGTGCATATTACACCACCAAAAGAATTGTCGGAAGGCATATGTCCCCGATGTCCCCACATCATTGACGCTATCACACTGTAAAACAATTAAGAAAGAAAAGGCATACCTGAAGAGGTGTTCCAGTTAGACACCAGCGGCAATACGAAGACAACGTGAAGGCAGCCTGAGCACCTTGAGTCCTTGAAGCTTTGATAGTATGGGCTTCATCTAACACT